ACACCGAACGACTGTTAAGTTCCGGAACCCAAAAATCACGATCTTGTTCCTCTTGCCTGAACAGGTCCCATCCAACCCGGAGCCAGTCAGCTTTCCGAAACCCGACGTGAGGAATGGCAAAGCGAGTTCCTCGCCGCTTGCGATCGACTTTTGTTTGCCACGCCAGACCAAATAACCCAGTATCTTGCATACTGAGGTCTTTCGGCTTGACGTGTTTTCCGTCGTCGAAACGCAGCGAAGCGAAAATCAGGCAGAGCCACCACCAAACGAAAATTCTTGTGGCTTCGGGCCAGTCTGGATCGCAGACGAGTTCCTCCATACACCCAACTACGGTAGTAGGGATGGGGACCGCCTCACGGAGGGTCTCAGCCCGTTTTGTGATCACCTCTTGTTGTAGAGCTAAGATAGAAGGATCATCAATGGAAGGGCACTCAATGACTAACCGTGCACAAACCCACTTAATGGCCGAGCGAAGGGTGGGAATCACAGTGGGACCGCACTCTTGACCATCAAGAAAAAACATGTACTTCACCACCTTGGGGGTTGACAAGGGGAACACCGGGATCTTAACAGTAGAGAGCCATGTTTCCATGCGTTCCCACACCCTCACGTACATCGCCATCGTTCGCGGCGCGCCGGCGGTAAGAACGAGCTGCCGGAGCTTCTCGTTCTCAGCTGGGGACAACCCCTCACCTGTCGAAGGATCCTCCCAAAGGCGAGCGAATGATCCAGCTCTCCTGCCAATCTGTTCAAGCCGTGCCGCCCACTTATGGCGTTCGGCGTTCTCTTGATCCAGCAGTGGGGAGCTCGACGACTGAGGTTCTGGCTGACCTGAGGCCCTGCGGGGCGCTTTGACGGGTTTCTGAAAAAGATCCTGGATTGCAGCTGCCCGCTTCATCCGAGCGGTTTCCGGTGAAGACGCCAGTGCCCCCATCGGATCACATTGTCCGAATCCGAGTTGATGAGCTGTCGATTCGAAAAAGCTTCGCTCGACCGACGAGGCGATCGACCAGAACTGCTCCACCTGAAAAGTCAATTTCATGATAACTAGCTGTCAATTTACAGCAATCAGCTGTCAAAGAAAGAGCTGGTTACACTGCTCCGCTACCATGTGCACATGCTATGAAGAGATGACTAGTAGGCTGGCCACTCTGAGGCCAATGTGAAAAAGATTGATGATGGTGGTGGGGATCGCTTGCAGTTACTTCTGCAATTGGTGGGGACAGCTCGAAGTTATTTCTTTGATAGGCCAAGGCTTAGTCGCAGGTTCCAAGTTGTTCCAAGTGTGTTGTGAAACTCTAGGTTTTGTTTTTGTTTTGGCATGAAACAAAACGTTTGGTTTGTTTGTGAAACAACATCACATCACCACAGAGCTGGGAAAGGCATTTTGGGGAAGGAGAGTAAAACACACAAGACCCCTGTTAAAAGCACATGGTTTTATGAGAGAACAGTGCACAGCAAAGCGCATAGATCTTTTTCCCAGTCACATCGGTCCACGTTTGGTGTTTCGAACTAGAGGCAACTCAACACGTGTTGGTCACGTGTCTATGTGCCATCCCCAAATACATGATTCACCACAGAATCACCCTAGATTTGAATGCCAAGCTTTCCGGCTGCTAATGCAGCTCGCTCGGAAGAAATCATCCATGCCGCGCCAGCGGTCTTCATGTCGGACTTGTGTTCCTTCATGTGCGCGCGTACCTTAAGTCCCAAATTAAACCAGCAAAACTTGTGGTTTTCTTTTGGGGGTTGAAAAAACAATTTGAAGTTGAAACCAGGTGGCAAAATCCCACCGAGCATGGTGTGCTGCAGACATGTTCTTCTTGTCCGGCATGGGTGTAGATGAAGTCTGCTTATCCTCACCCTTTGAAGAAGTGCCCCGAGGAACCTGATGGGTTTGAAATAAGTCTATATTAGTCTATATACTCAAAAGTATTCAAAAGTGAAATATGGTTTAAACCCCAAAGAACAAAAGGTCAAAGATACCACATTGGAGTTTTTACACTATCAAAACGACAAGGGACCCCTTTGCTTGCATATTTGGAATGCCACTCCTTTGACGATGTACGTTTCTTGTCAAGTTGTGCTTCACGTACCTTCTCCTTGGTCTTCGGTGTCATGTCGGGGGTCACTCGAAGCTTCTGGGATTTCGTGTTGGGTTCGGGCAAATCCTGCACAGGGACCACACGAATATAACAGGCCAACAAAATTTAAACAAATGTTTCATCCTGTTCAACCCGTTGTCCTCTCCAGAAGCAGCACTCAATGTTGAAGCAAGGCGTTTCTCCGACACCTTTGCACCCTCAAGGTTCACAAGCTCAGCATCTGTTGCAGGAACCTCCAATGATGACTCAAAAATAAAATTGATAGCAAATTGGATGCAATGGTTGGATTTATAAGTTGAAGCACTAAGTTACCTGGGTTTCAACAACAGCAGAATCACCATGCTGATCTGCAGAAGGAACATTGGCAGGAACTTGAGGTTCCTTGGAATGTGTCTGATTGAAATTGCGCCTAATTTCATGAGATAAACATATCCAAAACATGTTTCCACAAATTATGCCTAAGAATCCTCAACAGGGGAATCGATGGAGAAATAGCCATCCACAAAGCCATTGGAACCATCCCAACGCCGCTCCCTCGCCTTCTTTGCTTCCCTCAACTTCATTGGGTCGAAAACACACTTGTATTCAACTGCATGGTCCTTTTTTGAAGGTGTTTCCATGGGGGTCTTGTCTGCCATGTCCTGGAAATCACCGGTCTCCATGAAGGTCTTGTCTGCCATGCCCTGGAATTCACCAGTCTCCATTGGGGTCTTGTCTGCCATGTCCTGGGAGTCATCAGCTGGGTCAAAAGGAATCTGGCTGTCGGTGAGGTCAGCATTGGGGTTGTAGAATTGGTATTCTTGCCATTGCTGTTCTGCCTCTTGTTGGGGTTCAGGGAACAAGCACTTTGCCACACGCTCCGTGTTGCCAGCAAGAGGACGGGCCACATGATGTGGCACTGCCTTATGGAACCATGTGTCTACAAATTATCTAATGAAATGCACAAGTTGTTCAAAAATGCAACATGGGCGCAAACATAAAACCAAGTGCAAACAGTTGGCAGGAACTGGCTCAGCACGGAGCATGAACTTTTGCAAGGAAGCGCTGGCCTTGAAACAAACGGCATCATGTTCCTTCGGTGGATGGATAGCAACCAACTTGGACCGTGGGGCATCCTCTGTCTTCAAAGGAATGCTTGCAGAGGAGGATTGACAAATCTCACGCATGTGTTTGCCGATGATCTGCTGATCAACCGCGGATTCATCAACGTCCAGCACCACACTGTTGGCCCGTGCAAGAGACATGGCGAAGCACGTCCAAGTGTAGAAGCGCACAACACTACACACAAAGGGCTTGGGCAACAAAGACATATGTTGTGATATGTTGAGCTACCGTCTGCAATCACACTCTTTGGCCACATTGACAGGTCAGTCAAACAAAAATACAACACACATCAAACAATTTTCTCTTCCAGGGACCATTTGTCTTGACAACTGAGTACCTTTCACTCAGCCTCGCAAAACATTGAACAAATGGAAGACTCAGAGACTCTAAGATCAGGCCAGCTCATAGACGATGTTCGGCTCCATGGTGAAGCTGCTGGCCAAAAAACCACAGCGGCTTTGCAGGTCCGATGACCTTCTCGCGAGCATAGTGCCTCATACCTCTGAGAAGATCGATGCTCCCAAAAATAGCGAATGGAAAAGACTATGTGACTATGGTAAGTTCATGTCCAAAAAACATTCTCATCAGCCAAAGGACGCCACACACATTTGAGGAACTTCGAGGATGACAATGCTTTGGTCCCCAAATACCCTGCCACGTTGGACCCTTTCACATTCTTGACAGCCACTGGGTTTGGTCGGAACACGGAGTGCGACTCGTGGGTAATGGTGAAGGTGTCAGGTGTCTCTCCACGCTGCACTGATCCAGGCCTCATGACCTTGTGTCCCGTGACCGTGTAATCCACCACTCCACGTTCCTCTATGGTCTTCAACAGCTTGTACAGTGACATCGGAGAGGAATCCGAAGCTGCACCCCCAGCACTGGTCTCTTCAAGTAGCACCTCTCAGAAAAGCAATATTTAATATAGATACTGTATATAAATATATATAAATATTTGATAAGTAAAACAAAATAGAACTTCACAAGTTTAAAAGGTGTTCTGAAAAGTGAAGGGGCTGTAGAATCTGCATTTGCCAGTTCAAAAGCCACCGCTTTGGATTCGTTGGCAGCTTTTGACATGTAGTCCTTTGCCTGAAACAAAGATTGTTTCAAAGTAAACAAACACAAATTTTGGTCACCCTGGGCCTTCGATGAGTCGCTTATCCATGATCCGCCAGCATAGACAAACAATGCCTTTGGGCTGGCTGCGTCCAGTCCTGCCAGGAGGAACCTGGAAGCACTAGAGATGAAGATCTTGTTCTGCACGCAATGACACACGATGTTTTGTCCCATGTTGATCGTGACACTGGCAGTCACCTCAGGAAACTTTTGCTTGAACTCATCTGGCGAGAGAGAAGGTGGTACCTGTGCACTGGATGTCACAGCATCAACCTGGGGCTGCTCCACTGACAAGTCCTTGTTCTCATCTTGTGGTGTTGGTGCTCTTTCAGGTTGTGGAACAGGCTCGAAAACTGCATCGAAGTTTTTTCAAGCGAACTCGCCAATCTGCATCTCAGTGTAGTTTCATGTGGCAAAAACATTGCAAATTGAAAGGTGTTCTAACAAAACTATCAGACCACAAAAATTGCAACTACAACACTTCAAGCTACTCCTCACAGGGTCACTCAGCCACTTCTTCCGTTCTTGCTCTGGAATAGTTAAATGCCCACCCGCGGTCATTGTGCACATCTTCAGCGTAGGTGGCTTGGGCTGGTGGATGTTGGATAGGTCCGCGTCCGGGTTGTACTTTTGCATCGTGCCAGACATGATTCCTCGGGATTGTTTCCAATCCTAGCAGGGTATGCCAAAGTCACTTATCAAAAGCGAATTGTCATAAGTGTGTGTGAGTGTGTGTTTGGAACATTGTACCGTTGACAATGGGTTTGTTTCGCCCCCCTCCCCACCCCTTTCATCCTCTAGAAGTTTGTCTTTGACCCCACCCACGGCGAACTGGAAGATGGCAGGTGAGTCGGTCTCCGAGTAGGACGCCATGTGGCACACGTCCGCCAACTCATGCATCATCTCACAAACCACCTTCTCCCAAGTCCCATCATACATGGTCAGGTGGTGCACCAAGATCGTTTGGCCTTTCAGGGAGGATACCCTCGAAAGGCAAGCCTCCAAGATTGATTTGCATGTCCCAGGACTGGCCAACCATTGGGCTGTCTCTTCTTTGTCCTTGTTTGTCAAACAATTTGTGAACTCAATTGTTGAGGACCATCCCACACAAACACAACAAATAAACACCGACTGATTGCAGCTGGACTTCAGTCAGAGAGCGGCCAGTCTCATGGCTCAGGAAGGTGCCAGATTCAGGGGTGACGTAATCACCTGAATTTGATGACAAAGTATTTCAACAAACTCTGCTTTGACAAAGGATGTGTCCCCAAAGTCCCAAGGAACAAGAAAAGGATGTTTGACACAATCATGTGACTGGGATTCAAAGGAACTGATGATTTGCAGCATCCTGTGGTCCAGAACATGTTCTTTGTAAAGACATTCGTGTCCTGCTTCTCCTTCTCAGCATTCCTTGGCACCTTGTAAAGTGTTCCTTGCTTGCAGCCAAGGGTGGTCTCAAGCACGATCATCCACCCAGGAAGCAACGCTGGCAAATTCCTCTGGGAGTGTGTAGTGTGTGTGCTTGTCTGTGGTACAACAAAGCAAACACACTAACATTAAACATGTTTACCCTGTCATCATGTCCGGTTCCCATGTTGGGATGAGATGTCGATCATTATCTGGATCGATTTCATCTCCATGCCCATTGACAAGAACTTGTCTTCAATGCGCCGGTACTCGCCACGTAGGCCATTGAGGACGCTTTCGCTGGCCAATATTGGCCCTGTCATGAGGACCATGCCTAGCAACAGGTAAAGTTTGTCTGCAAAAACTTATATAACAAACCATTGCATATACAGTAAACATAATATACTGTTGATCCAAGTTGCTGAAATCAGAATTCAACTCGAGAACTCTTTTGCACGACCGAGCAGTGTCCTCAATGGCCAAAGCTGTGAGCCTCCCATACTTGCTGAGGTCGCAGAAACCGACATGGTGCATCCGGGCAAGGTCCACATCCCCCCATCTTTGTAGCGCCATCGCTGATAACCCTGCGAACCATTGTGGCCAAAGGCTGCGCTCTTGAGTCTGTGGTGACCATGAGGCAGCGACGCTCCATCATCTGATCAGCCAATCTCAAGCCCAAATCGATTTGTTCCTTCAGGTGGATCACTTTGGCCGCGTGTTTGTTGCCATCCGCCTGTAAGGTTGAAGGTCAACTTGTTGTGTGTGGCATACAATGTTTACTTTTTTTGAACATTTGGAATTGATAAACCCTGCCTTGCTTTGTCTCAAGCAGAAGTTAACTCCTTCCTTGTAATCATGGCTCAAGTTGGCACAAGTCACAGCATAGGTAGCCACTTGTAGAGCCTCCTGGAATGTGGTGAGTGATGTTGGGATGGTCTTTGCTTAATGGTCACGGTTAGTTTAAAATTACAATCAAAACAAACATGCTAACCCTTAATTGGAATATCCTCTGCATCCAATACTTCGGAGTCTTGGTCTGCTGCTGACATGCTGGTGCCACCTGCTGCATGCTTCATGAGCTCCTTGCCAATGTAGTCTTGCCACATCGCAACCTTTTGCACACTGAGTTCGGGTTTTGCCATGATCAACGCGTCCAAATCCTGTGTGTAATCCCTTAGATATTGAGTTTCCCACCAAAGAAAAAGTTATGTAAAGTATAAAGGACAAAACAAACAATAAAAACTGGATACAATTCAAAGGTCCCGTTCATAAAGGCTGTCAGCATGTTGTCGATCATGTCTTGACTTACCTTGCTGTGGCTTCGAGGAAAAAAAATTGGTTTCGAGGTAACTATCTGGAAAAAAACTACAGGTTTTGCAATGCGCAGATGTGGTGCATTCGGGTCCTTCTGGCATTCATGGACAACCCAAGTCGCTATACATGCGTGTTCCACTGACCGGCTCCACAATTCCTCACCCCACCGAAGTCGATTCCGCATTGTAACTTTCTGCTTGCGAGCATGCAGCGACCACCAGTGGTTGTAGCGTTTGAAATGCAATGCTTGACTCTCTTCACTTACCTCAACACAGTATTGAACAGAAACCAAAGGCACTTATGTAACTTCAAGATCAAAACAACAGGAAAAAGGGAAAAGGTTGCATGGACACTATATTCTGACAAAGGAGTGTCTGTCAAGACTTGCTGCCACAAGCCGGTAGCTCCTTTCGGGCCCTCATGGAGTTGGTGGCGCTTTGAACGGAGGATGCTTTCGTTGTAGCCTGGATACAATGTGCCAAGCAACACCAGATATGTGTAAAACAAAATGGACAGGTAACAGGTAGGACCAAACAAATTATTTGTCCATTAATTCAAGCAAGTTGCCACTAGTCTCCCACTTGTTCCAATCCAAGTGAGAGCGAATCAGATCACGGGCCACTTGGCTCATGCCACAAATTATGACTTGTATAGCAGCTTGCTGGTCAGGCGATATTTGCCACTTCTTGATGGCCTTGTTGGCTTTGTAGTTGTTGTAGCGGTTGATGACTTCTTGGAGCAGCTCACCATCATTGAGATTCTCTGAATCTGGTTGGCAACGGCGCTCACACATCAGAAGTTCAAAGCGCAGTGCAAGTTTCATAATCTTGGCTGGATAATGAGTCACACAAGAAAAGGTGAGCATACACAGAAAAAAAGATGTACACTGTCCAAAATGTTAATCAAAGCCAAAACCACGTCTTTTCTTTGTCGCTCAGCACCCTGCGTACTTAATTGTATGCTTTCGAACGATAGCATTTCGCCATCTGTGCTTGATGTGACCGACGATGGAAGAGCATACATCTCATGAAACACTGGCAGGAGTGGGAGAAGGACGTCCTCGCTCTTAAACAAAAACAAATCATTGTTTCTGCCTGAGAACAAACAATTCCTTTAAACTTTGGGGCTGATGTCCTTGGCAGCAATTGGGTCCAGGTCTGCTGCAATGAGAAGGACCAGCAAAGCTGAAGTCCTTGGAACATTGCAAATCCCTACTACCAATCAAACAAAGTTGAAAACAAATTTTGCAACAAAAACTGTCAGCAAAGCTAAGCGTCAACCTCGTGAACCCTTTCTTGATGCTGAACTGATCCTGGCCACCCCTGACATCCAAATCCAGCGGTTCCCTATGAAGGCGGGACCCATTGAATATGAACGAAATTGTGGTTGCGATGTAGTCGGTGATGCATGGTAGGCCGTCAGGTGGCACAGACAAACGAATTGCATCCAGGGGAACGGATGTTCTGAGATGGCTTTGTTCTCCATTCTTCACAGCACTGACATCCTCATGAACATTTGGTCCAGTATGTGGGAGACACCTGGTTGAACTTTTAAACATCAACCACACTTAACAGAAACTATGAACCAGTACAAATTCCCGAGGCAAGGTACCGGAGAATGCGCTTGCTCCAATTTCCGCCCATGCACCTTAAGCACCTCCTCTAGAAAGACTTTCAAGCGTTCATGTGTAATCTTGGTTGCCTCCTCATCCTTAAAAGCTTCGAGGACCAGATCCACTGGATGACACTTGCGGACATTGGTCGAAGCTTCTGTCGTGTCTGCAAACATCGCCAAGTAGTCCAAGATGTCCTCACAGGGCATTTCAGATTATTTGTTTAAAATAAACTGCAATGTTTGGATTGTAAAAAACCTTGGTCCTTCACCAACGTGACATCACCAGGAAGATTTGCTAAACCTGACTGCCACTCCGTCTTGCGCCTTTTGGCGGAGGCCTCATGTTCTTTCTTGGCCTCAGAGCTGAACATAGGGCCAGACCCAAACATGTCCAAACACAAACCCTTGCAATTCACAAAGTAAAAAACATACACAAGACTTCAAGAGTCTTCTTCAGCCTTCACCTTCACTTTGTCTTCGTCGTTCTTCACAGGTGTGTGGGGTGTGTGGGCACCACAGTGATCTCGATGAGGTCTCAGGCTCAAAGCGGCTGCTGCGGCAGCCACGCCCGAACGAAGAAACGGAGACTCCATGAGTCTGAACTGCTGGCCACTAGAGTGTCCCTGATGCAAAACCAAATTGTGGTTTGTGTTCCAAAATGTTTGTGTTCCAAAATGGAAGCTTGCTGGAAACAACACAAATCTTGCTTGCAAAAAAGGCGAGCGGCTGACTCATCCTAAATCTCCGTTGGTGGGGGTGGGACTCATCCTAACTCTCCGTTG